ATAAATAATATTTACAACAAAGATTTCGTTAACAATAAAAATATGACAATAAATATAACAATAAAAATTAGGAATAAAGAATGCGAAAACTCGAAGAAGTCCTTGAGGTCTTGTCGTAGAGAACCGCTGGAATCAAAACGCTTTAAATGAATTCATTTTTATTGAATGTTTATTCGCTTTTGAATTGGATCTGTTTCGATAAATAATTATATAAACCGTTGCATAGAATAGTTAAAAATAATATGCTTCAGTATATTTATTGATGTGTTTGATGACGTCATAGTGTGATGGTGATGTTAATATAAATCAAATAGATTAAAAATAATAACTGAATTGAACATTTCTTGCATTAAAATTGTAGAAAATAAAATCAGGGTGGGGTGTTCTTGTTAATAATTAGTTCTTGTTCTAATATAGTTTTTTTTTTTTTAGTATATATTGTGTTTGCATCTTTACCATACAAGCGATCATAGGTGGTATCACCGAATCCTAATCTAATAAATACATACATACACAGATACACATACACATTTATACATAATTTATTGATTTTATTTTTTTTAACTTTTTTTTATTTCTCTCTTTTTTTCATTTCTTTTTTTTTTTTTTTATTTAATTTTTACAAAAAAACCGTTATAAAATTTTTTTGTTTTTTGTTTTTTTCAAATACTAAATAAAAGATAAAATAAACCTGAAAATTTATACATACTAGCAACATATAATATAAAGCAATATACAATACGAACTCAAATAATAAATATTTATACATCTATTCATAGCTATCAGTTTCAGTACAATCTCAAAGTAACTATATACTTAGGTAAACTTAGTTTTAATAATAGGTAGACAAACCCATAATACTAGTAATATAGAAAAACGTTCTCCATAGAAAGAATTAGATTTTTAAGCTTAGTTTTGAAAATAGAAAAAGAGGCAGGTAGATCAAAATTTTGCAAAATAACTTTATTTCAAAGATTATGTGCACGATAACCAATACAAAGTTGATTAAACTTGGTTCGATATAAAACTTGATTTAGCAAATTATTATTTCTCAGTGCATACTTATTGTCTGGTTTCAAAGTAAAAATGTTTTTAAAAACGTCAGGAGATTAGTTATTTTTCAACATATATACAAAACATAGAGTATTATATAAATTCCTTTCATAAATATTAAGTATTCTCATTTCGTTAAATAAAGGTTTTGAATGAGTTTTGAATGAAATAAAGGTTTTGAATGAGAACTTAAATAATCATTTACTAATACATAAGACTCAATTACAATTAGTTGGATAATTTGAGAATTATAAAAAGTGCATAAACAAAGAAGAAAAAAAAATAAAAACAATTTTTTAATTTGACATATAGAATCTTTTGTAAAAAATGAATTCTGAAAATTTATTTCGTAACAAAGTTAAAAAAAAAAAAAAAAAAAAAAAAAAAAAAAAAAAAAAGAGAAAACTAATTAACAAGGTAAACTAAACAGTTATTTAAAATTTGATTTGAATTACAATTTCTTACTGATATCGTGTTTCCAACATCAAAAATCAGGAATCATCCAGGTTGCAAGAAAATTTGATTTTTTTTTAGGTATATAGTTAAGACGTCCAGCGGACGTTCTGTGCCCAGTGGGTAGATATTATACATATTAATCAAGTAGTTAATAAACATATTTCAAGCGAGTATTCTAAATATTAATAGAATACCTGTCTCGGGTACTAATATCCAAAACGCTAATAAATAGCGGTTCGCGCGACGGCTACTGAAGCGTTTAAAATATTTTAAAGTTACAATTTTTTTTTTTATTCATAACTTTAAAAGGTAGACAACAAGTATAGTATTTTTTACCGCTTACTAAAAAGTATTGAAGTAAAGAATAAAAACTTGTTCTAAACAAATAATTATAGAAAAAGTATATTAAAACAAACAACTAGCAAAGTAAATGTTTTATTTATATTTTGTATTTGTCTGTCAATATAGTACAAGCCAATTAATTATATATTTATGTGTATCAAATACAGCTTTAATCTATTTTTGATTAGCTAATAGATTTTTATATGTGACTGTAATGCCACCATGAAACTTTGCTAAATTGAAATTTTAATAAACTAAGTATACAAAAATATCAGAAACTAAAAGCGGTTTCTTGATGTCAAGACCACATGGTCTTCTGCAAGTTTCCCGCGTTTTTTTAACAGCGTTATATATATATATATATATATATATATATATATATATATATATATATATATATATATATATATATATATATATATATATATATATATATATAATATATATATTATTTGTGCTAAATTTATTATTTGTACTGAAAAAAGTTTTTATTATATGTAGGATTGTATTCATAGTAAACAATTGTAGAAATGGTCGGCGTAGAATAGACCGTATTTTACGGGTCCGGACATCTAATATTATTATTACCTTAAAGTCTTTCAATGAATACGGGGTTTTCGATACATTTCTTTGTCTTAGTCAAATTTAAACTAATGAACTTGAAAAGTTCTACCTGTATCAAAAAAGAACAAGAAGATTTCAGATTTTCTATCTTTCTTCACATTTAAACTTATTTTTCAAAGTATATATACATAGTCTTTTAAATTTAAGGTATAAGTTATACAATGGTTGGGGATACAGAAAACATCATGGCTTTATTTCGAGACATGCCTACTGCAGTTTGCTTTCTAATGATTGTTCCAATTATAATAATTTCAGCTTCATCTTCTGCAGTGGCTGCGTCAAATGATTTCCCAGTTTACAGAATGCAACAGTATGATTTATATGGGGCTAAATACGGTAAAGATTTTATTTTATTTTTAGCATACTTTAAAATCATTTCTAATTTAAAAAAGATTGTTATTACAATTTACAGTCAAACTTATTTTGGTTTATTTTGTGAACAAAATAAACCAAAATTTAAAAGTTAGTGTTTTTATTTAAGAATTTAAATTTATGAATAAAAACACCAAGTTCTTATTTAAGAATTTAAAGTTAAGAATTTTTAATTTGAATTAACGATTAAATTATAATTCTTAATTGTTTTGCATTCCATCATATCATTTATATGGAAATTGTATATAGATACATTATAAATTATCTATATTTAAAATCTATATGTGCATTATTAATAAGCACCTTGTTTTCTTTGTACTTCTTAATTTAAACAAATAAAGAAGATTAATATCATTGATATTAATTTTCATGTAATTCTTGACATTTTTTTCTAAGTTAATTTGAGTTTTTTCTAAATAGAACAACCTACTTGATATAGAAAATAAATAAAAAATTCTAGATATTTGAGACATTGTTTGAAATACATTAAACAGTGAAGCTGCTGTGTCACCATCTACTATTGACAAACTATACACTATTTTTACCAATGTTGTTAATTTTAATTAACATGTATGCAGTTTATGATGCTAATACTTTTTAAATTTTAAGTTTTTAAAAAAACATACAAGACATCACAAAGTATACAATAAAATATAGAGAAATTAGATATTATAAGATAGAAAATAGATAATATAACAGACAATCACAAAAAGTTAAATATTTAAAAATTGTATAGAGAAAAGTTTCATTTATATTTCAAAATAAAAATATTACAAATCACTTTACAGTTAAATTAGTTAAAGAAAATGTCTAGAAGGAACAAAAATGTTGAACAACAACTAGAGTGTTGTGATCCTAAAAGTAGCACTAATTTTAGACAAAAATTGGGCAGTATGGATAAGGAGTGTATCTGATAAGGTGTGTTAAGGAAGATTAAGGTTGTTTGGCTTTTCTCAAAATTATTTTTATCTGAAAAGTCTGATTTTAACTCTTATAAATGCTTTATTATCAACAAATTGCAACTTTTACACTGCAAACACTCTTGCATATACTCTATTTATATAGAAATGGTAATTAGAAAATAATTTTTTGTTTGAATGCTTTATATAATAATTCAAAACCAATCAATTATTTTATGTAGTAAGTTGGTAATTTATTATTTTTTTAACCATTTAGCAAGGTAAATATAAAAAAATATTATTGAAATATGTATTAAAATATTCGGGCAAATTACTTAAATATTTATAAAGGAAATAAAAATTATTATATTCCTAAATTTCAAAGTACATGAGAGTACTAGTTATTGAATATCTTTCCTCACTTTTTAAATGTTTATATGTCCAAATAGGCGTTTTAGATCTGTCATTTTGTATTAGGATTTGATCTTTATTTTGTAAAGTTTATGTTATAAACTGCAAATTCAGTTAAAGCTGCAACTTGAAATAATTATGTTATTTTTGCAAAAATAAACTTGATTTGATTATTAAGTCTTTTTTTAGGTTCACGAAGTGCATCTATTAACTTAGAGGCCCGGTCTTTGATATCAGACAATTTAATCCGTCGTTGTGCGGTTGTTCGAATAGCCCAACTTCAAATAGACCAATTACAAAAAGCGATTTCTGATGGATTAAGTGCCTTACTTATTCTGTTACCAGCTAATATTGAAAAAGTTTCTAATGCAACATTAGAGGTGAAATTAATTATTATTTTTTTATTTTGTTTTGTTTTAAATAACATGTTTTTTGTTATTATCATTATTTTAAATTTAAATTTTGACATGTTTTACAAAAATTGTTTTTAATTAAAATAATTATCATTTTAATTATTAAATTTAATGTTGTTATAAATATATCACTTTTGTAATTGTTATTATTTTTATTGCTATTATTTATTTCTATAAAGCATAGATACTGGGCTCAATTTAACGGTTGAACATCGCTGCCCCTAGACTGTTTTTAAAATCTGATTTATGGGGGCAACCAATCATTGTTTATTTTTAATGAAAAAATCTAAAATGGTTTGTTGCCCTCTTCTAGCAGGTCTCAAGAATGGTCTGAGGGGTGGCAATGTCTGACCATTAAATTGAGCCCTGTAGATAATACAAATCTTTGCAGAGTATTGTTTCTGGAATCCTACTATAGTAGAAAATTAGTTAAATTAGAATTAATAAACTGTTTTTGAAAACACTAAATCTTGAAGTAGCTTGTTTTAATGTGACTTTATTCTGTTGTTAAAGAAGTTTTCATGGTAACCATATTAAATGAATTGCCTGTTTTCTCTTCATGAGTCTGTATACTCATTTTGTACATTTCTTCTGATACTTGATGATGGGTTTTTGTATTCTTTCCATTTGAGATAGTTATTTACGTTAATACATTGGTCCTGTTCATGTGATGTTTCATTTAAATCAATGGTTGTTTCATCTTGGGTAGTTATATATAGTGGGGTAGCATAGATTCTTTGTTTTTATATAACACAATAAATAAATTATTTGCTGAAGAACAACATGTGTTTACTAAAGGCAAATCAGTAGTCACAAATTTACTTGAATTGTTACATAATCTTTGATACAATCATCATATAACCATTAACCAATAATAAAGCAATGGTTATTGCTTTATTATTTTTTATATGTTCTTGGTGATAAAATTTTTATTTATTAATTTCCTTGATCAGTTGGTTTGCTAAATACAGTAGTTTTTTATTTAATTTGCATTCAGATTTTTGATATCAAACATTTTTTACGACCTTTTAAATTCACTTGCTTTTAATTTGTATTTGGTTGAAATTTTTTTAATTTTTGTTTGAAATTTTTTTTTCATGTTTAGATGACTTTGCAACTAACTTCATAAGAAAATTTTTTTCTTTTGATTAGTTGCTATGGTTATTTTGACTATTTAAATATCTTTTTATTATGGTTATTAATTTGATATGGTTATTGTGCTATTTGATAGATTTTTTTTTTTTATTAATTCTATCAATTTTTATTATATTTTCTAGCATTTAATTTGCATTAAACTTTGTTTATTTCTAAATATTTTTTTTTTTTGATATATTTTAATTATTTTTTTGATTTTTTTTGCATAGTGAGTCTTTAAAAGTCCCAAGTGAAAGTTGATGATCTGAATTTTAAAATGCCAAGTTAATATGAAAAAATGACAAATTAAAGTGAAAATTGCCAAATTAAAATGTAAAAATGACTAATTAAAGTAAAAATTAGCTAACTTAAATGCAAAAAAATTATAGTTAGGTAGCAGCTGTTTTGAAGTTCTTAATTTCAATGATTTAAGTTACTAAGTGGTTTGTATGTGATGGTCTGTAGATGCAACTGATAAGGATATTTTGTTTTAAGTTTGGTTTCACACCATATAGATTTAATTGAGGAGTTATTCAATTAATTAAAAATTTTTAGTGATGGAGTATCTTTTCTTATTTAAATCACTACACTTCCACTCTTGTTACTGATTTGGTTTTTATTATATATGGTGTAGTTAGGCAAAAAAAATAACAGACTTTTCATTAAACCAGGATTCAGTTATATGCGGTTAGTTTTTTTTAGCATTTATTATTTAAAATGATAAAAGAAAACAAGAATTGTCTGTAGAAAAAGTAACTGCAATATTCACATTGTGGCATGAAAAATATCACGTATCAAATAGCAAACAAAATCAATATTTTATCTTCTTATAATAAGTAAGAGAAAATATGGAAGTGTTATTAATCAAATACAATCGAATCACAAATAATAGTCTATTCTTTGCAACGTTTATCAAACATGTTTAAAAATTTTATGTTAGTGAATCAGCTGTTTATCTGGCAACTGTTAGTAAGGCTAGGTGATGCTATTAGTTTGGAATGTTAGTTTGTAGTAAAAAAAAAAAAAAAAAATGTATTGCAGCATACTTTATTTACTATGTTTAGCGTATACAGTATTTGGAAAATAACTTATTGCAAGTCGATCTTCCAATACCAGTTTATTTCAGTCATGAAACAGATGCATTAAAAAGTTTATTTGAAGAAATTACATCTAGTGTTCATCGTGATACTGCAACATCTGCTGTTAAAGGTAGTTTTTAATGTTTAAAATTAGTTTGTAAGATTTTTTTTAACCATTGTGTTGTAATTTTGGTGTTTAAGCAGCTCTTGATGAAAAATATACAACATATATTTTGCGTGTTGATTTCCTTTATTACACATTTATTTATTAGCATTAATATATCTACAATAAAGGCTATGTTATACACACACACATACGCACACATACATACATAAAATATGATAGAAAACATAAATAAAATAAAATAATAGTTTCATTATTGTTATACTTCTAATGTGGCAGTTTTCAGCCATTTCTTTATTAATTAATTCCATTCCTTTTTTTGTTGTTTATATTTCTGTGTTATTTCTATTTATATCAGATTATGAGTATCTTTATGCTCTACATTTACAAATCTTTTTGACTTTTCTAAAGACTATCCCACAATCAAATTTAACTAAGACAAAACCCACAAATTCTTAATTGTTAAGTAATAGCCCTAGTAATTGCAATTGCAAAATCTGCAATTTTTACAATAAAGTTGCAGAGTTTTACAAAAAAAAGATTTCAAACTGGAAAATTTTTTGTGTAGTTTCATGTAAAATAAGGACAGTCATTCCAATAGTCTATTTGCTCTAGTCTGCCATAATGGATTTACTGAATAACTTTAATGAATAATTTAAGTGTAATAAATTAATAAAAAAAGTGGAAGAATCTAAAAATTGATAACCATTCTGGTTAAAAAATGGATCTAAAATCTTACCATTTTTAAGAGTGCTTAATCTAAAAGTGTAAAGAAAAAAACCCTAAAATTTTTAGTTGTAAAAATAAGTTTTTAAATTTTAAGATAAATATCTGTTCCGTTACCGTGGATTGTGTGAACATCTGGAATTGCCCAGCTTTTGTGAACGCACTAAAGTTGGGCAATTCCAAATCGTGGTTTATAGTCTTTTAATGCATAACTTTAATGTTTTTTTTTTTTTTTTTTTTTTTTAACATCTTCACTTCCAACAAGGCTGCAAGCAACCACTATAAGAGTTGGAAGTTACTGGAAGAGAAAAGACTAAATCTGTAGAGCAAGATAACGATTGACTGATGACTTAAAAGATTGCAAATTATAGGAATCAGGAAAGCAAGATGAAGGAAGCGAATTCCAAAGAACTGATGTTCGAGGAAAAAAACTAGAAGAATAAGAGTTTTTGAAGCACTTAGGAACAGTCACAGAAAAAGGATGAGACTTAATTGAATGGCGAGTAACACGAGAATGAATTTTAGTAGATGGCACAAGGGACGCTAGCTCTTTAGAGCAGTGCCCATTATAGTATTTGTAGAAAAGAGAAAGAGAGGCAACATTACGACGATGTGACAAAGGTTGGAGATTGGCTGCCAGAGCAGGTCCAACTATGTTTACAATTCGTTTTTGCACCTTGTCTAAAAGAGAAAGAGCATCATTAGAAGATCCGCCCCAGATGTGGCAACAGTATTCCATACAGGGACGGATTTGAGATTTATAGAGATAGAGAATAGAATCTGGAGTAAGAAAGTGTCGAGCTCGATAAAGAGATGCAACCTTAGCAGATGCTAATTTTGCAATGGATTTGATATACGGTTTAAAAGAAAGATCAGAAGTAAGAGTTAATCCTAGAAGATGAATGGTAGATGACTCATCTAGTACATTACCATTCATAAATATAGGAAGATCTAAATTATTACGATAACGATTGGCCGAATAAAATTGAGTTTTATCTGAATTAAAGTTCACCAGCCACTGTGAGCCCCATGCTGTAGCAGAAGTGAGATCCTTTTCAAGCTCAGATACCCCCTCCAAGCAATCAGAGAGTGTAGGCTTCTTATCATGACAAGAGTAAATGGTAGTGTCGTCAGCGAATAATGCCACCTTAGATGTGAGAATATCTGGAAGATCGTTAATGTAAATTAAAAAGAGTATAGGGCCAAGGATTGAACCTTGAGGAACCCCTGAAGTTACAGGATGTGAAGAAGAGTGTTGTCCATCGAGGACAACTTTTATACTACGGCTATTTTGAAACTTTTTGAGTAAAATGTTAATAGTCTCACATTCTCCATTATAGATTAAATATAAATAAAAATATAAATAGAATAAAAATATAATAAAATGAAATTACTTATTCATAATAAACTTATGTTCTAGTGGTAGCACCTTTAAAAATAGTAAATAATATCAATTTGAAAAAAATTTTATGAAACACTTTCACTCATTCCTGAAGTTGCCAAACCCTTATTATGAATAATTGAGTTTCTTGAGAATTTCATCAAAAATTATATTTAGGCATTTCCATATGAAAACATCTAATTTTGCGACTTTAAGTCTCAGACTTTTCTAATTTTTACACCGCTTAAAGATTTTATTAAGGTATTAACATCTTCAAAATTTCATAATTTAATTCTAAACAGTTTCAAAGATATAACTATATAAACAATTAAAAAAAAAAGTTTTTGTCTTTGTTTCTGTTTTGTGTGCAATTTTTTTTTCTGATGATTGATGAAACACCGTGTAAAATGAAAAAAATTTTGTTAAGTGATTTTCTACTAATTTAGTTGCTCTGTTCTTTTAAGAACATTGAGCTCTCTATTTTGTAGAATACATTTTCGAAATTGTTTAAACACACACACACACACACACACACACACACACACACACACACACACACACACACACACACACACACACAGATATATATATATATATATATATATATATATATATATATATATTATATATATATATATATATATATATATATATATCTGTTGTATATATATATCATGCCATGTTGCGCATGAATGGTGTCCCTGTTAATGCTTTTGGTGTACATTTTCAAGGCCACATAAGGAGCCCTATGTCACGGCTTAGGGTTAATTAACAGGACTGAGACAACTGCATAGCTCATTGATTAGGAGGCTGTGCTCTATCTATGAATGAGTCTAGTTCTCATTAAACCCAAATCATGACCAAAGTAACCAAAAATTTAAAACCTAAAAAACCATCCCCACCACCTAAATATTTTAATATATCTTTTACAAATATTCGCGGTCTACGAAGCAACTTTCCATCAGTTGAGTCTTACCTCCTGCAAAATTCACCAGACTTGCTTGCACTCAGTGAAACAAATTTAAGTTCTGCAATTCCTTCTTCAGATGTCAGTGTTGATGGGTACTATCCTTTGATTCGTAAAGACTCCAATAGTCACATGCTAGGTTTAGGGGTATGCATATGCATTAATTCCCCTATTTGTTGTGAAATCAGGTTCAAATCCTTTGACCATTCTTTTATGTGCTTTCGCCTAGCACCTCTTCACTCTATCACCTTTCTCTTTGTTCTTTATCGTTCTCCTTCTTCCCATGATTGCACTCTTTTAGATGTTATCTCTGATCAAATTGACCATGCCCTCTCTTTTTACCCCTCTGCCAATATTGTTGTTGTTGGTGATTTTAATGCCCATCACACTGAATGGCTTGGCTCTAACACCACTGATCCTGCTGGAACTAAAGCCTTTAACTTCTGCGTTTCTTAATCTCTAACTCAGATAGTTAACTTTGTGACTCGTTTTCCTGACAACCCTAATCATTTACCTTCACTCCTTGACTTATGTCTTGTCTCTGACCCTAGCTCATGTTCAGTTTCTCCCTTTTCTCCTTTAGGTGGTTCTGACCATGCAATGATCTCTATAAATCTTTCTTCTCATACTTCTTTTTTGGGCTCACCTTATCATCGCACCACCTACTACTACCCTAAAGCTGACTGGGATTCCTTTTGTGATTTTCTTCGTGATGGTCCTTGGGCTGATGTTTTTTCTCTCTCAGCTGACAAATGCGCCTCCTACGTAACCTCCTGGATTCAGGCTTAAATGGAAGCTTTTATTCCTTCTCGTCGGTTTCAAGTCAAGCCTCATTCTACCCCATGGTTTTCTCCTTCTTGTGCCGCTGCTATATCCAATCGTAATCATTTTTTTCATCTTTTTCAAAAGAACAACTCTCTTGAGAACAAACGGCTATTTATTATTGCAAGAAATCGATGTAAAAAGGTGCTTTCTGATGCTAAACTCAACTCGTTTCTCCGCGCAGTGGCCTTGTTCGTCAAGGTTCGTGTTTCAGAGTTATAGAGTTGAGAGAGGCTTATAGCCACAAAATAAGTAGCCTCCTCGTCTGTAGTGGCCTTCTCGGCCTTGAGGAGGTGAAGTAAAATAAAAATAAAAAAAAAACTCCATTATTCTCAGTTCACTAAATCTCGCATCTTATCGCAGAAGTTAGGCTCTAAAGACTTTTGGAAAATCTTCAACAGCATTGTTAACAAGGGTAGATCTAAAATTCCATCTCTCATTCATGGGACTGATCTTATTACCTCTCCCAAGGATAAGGCAGAACTATTTGCAAAGAACTTTTCTTCTAATTCCACTCTTGAATCTTATGGACATTCTCTTCCTTCCATTCCAGTCAAACAGGTTGACCCATTGTTAGACATTCAAATCACTCCGGCTTCTGTTGCTAAAGTCATATCTCAATTAAACTCGTCTACAGCTTGTGGTCCAGACAACATTCCTGTCACAGTCTTGCAGAATTGTTCTCCAGAACTTTCTTCAATTCTCTCTAAACTATTTAACAAGTGTTTGACTGAGTCTTGTTTTCCTGCTTGTTGGAAAATGGCATCTGTGGTTCCAATATTCAAAAACTCTGGAGAAAATTCTGACCCCTCCAATTATCGTCCGATCAGTCTTCTTTCTGTTATTAGCAAGGTCTTTGAGTCTTTGATCAACAAATTCCTCACATCTCATCTTGAGTCAAATAAACTGCTGTCAGACAATCAATACGGTTTTCGATCCTCTCGCTCTACTGCGGACTTGCTAACTGCTGTAACTGAAAGATTTTATCGTGCATTAGATGGAGGCGGTGAGGCTAGGGCTATTGCTCTCGACATATCTAAAGCTTTCGACAAAGTTTGGCATACTGGTCTTCTCCATAAGCTTGCTTCATATGGTGTTTCTGGGAAAGTT